TAGACTGTCTTTACTCCATTGTATATATTCTTGCCTCCTCTGACATAGATTAAATGACCATATAGGTAAGGGTTTTTTCCTTGTCTCTATTCTGTTTCATTGATCTATATGTCTGTTTTTATTCTAGTATCATGTTGTTTGATTACGATAGCCTTTTAGTATAGTTTGATATCAGCATGATACTGCCAACTTTGTTCTTCTCGAGATTGCTGTGGCTATTCCGGGTGTTTTATGGTTCCATATAAATTTTAGGATTACTTTTTTTAGTTCTGTGGAAAATGCCATTGGTATTTTGATAAGGATTAACAATAGCCAAGATATGGAAGTAATCTAAGTGTCCATCAATAGACAATTGGATAAAGAAGATGTGATACATATAAGCAGTGGAATATTACTTGGCCATAAAAAAGAATAAAATCTTGCCATTTGTGACAAGAATGGACCTGGAGGGTATTATGCTAAGTTAAATAAGTCAGACAAAGAAAGATAAATACCATGTGATCTCACTTATATGTAGAATCAAAAGTGTAAAATAAAGGAACAAACAAAACAAATAGACTCTTAGACATAGAGAACAAACTGATAGTTGCCAGGTGAGAAGATTGGGGCCCTGGGTGAAAAAGGTGAAGGGATTAAGAAGCACAAATTGGCAGTTACAACATAGCCATGAGGATGTAAAGCATGGGGAATGTAGTCAATAATATTTTAATAACTATGTATAGTACCAGGTGGGGTACTAGACTAATCAGGGGGATTACTTTGTAAATTGCATAAATATCTAACCACTACGCTGTACACCTAAAACTAATGTAAATAATATTAAGTGTGAACTGTAATTGAAAAATAATAAAAGATTTGCTGAAAGAAATTTAAGAAGACATACATAGTTGGAAAGATACTATGTGATAATTAAATAATTAAAAAGTTTATCTTGGCCCAGGGATTGCATTGAGTACTTTATATAAATCATTTAATTTGCACAATAATCTACAAGATATTTAGGACAATGCTAGGTAACATGTCCAGTGTTGCACGGATAGGAAATGGCAGAAATGAGGCTGTAATGAAGGACCCATGCTCATCTCCACTCCCGAAACAGTCTCTCTTCATCAGGGTAGGTGGCACAGCCACTGACTGATGAAAAATAGGAGAGAATGTGTTGAGAAAGAGGGTCAAGATAGTGAAAGTATTTTTAAAACACTTTAATGGGATGGATGTTATCTATAGTTTATTAGTTTTATGATCTAAATATTGAAAGAACTTTTACTATTTCTCTTAAATAGGTCAACTATTAAAAGCATTTAATAATAAACAGTGAAAGGAAGTTAATTCTATTTACCAGTGTTTCTCAGCCTGGCTGTAAATCAGAATCACCTGTAGAATTTAAAAATTTTGGCCTGTCTGGATTTCACCCCATATAGTGAATATATGGAGAGGTATCCGTACTTTTCTCAAATTTCTCAGAAATATCAGTGCTGCAAGCCACCATTATATACAGAAAGTGCTTTTCAAAATGGGAGAACAAGACTGCTGGCATTAGGAATTTGGAAGTCTGTACTTATTAAAATGCAAAGTCTAGGCCCCTTCTCATTCTTCTAAATCAGAATCTCTAGGAGTGTGGCCCAGGAACTGCATTTTAACTGGCTTCCCAAGCAACAGTTAAATGCAATAAATTTTTATAATTATTAGTGTATGGTATTTATCTGCACTCATAATTTTTTTTTAATAATAAAAGCTACACCATTAGTCTTCCAAATGGATGGCACTCATACTCTTCACTGACAACATACCATTTTAGCATCTAATAATTTTCTGTCCTTTCTTGTTAACTTTTTAAAAACATAATACTTCATTTCTCGTCATTCCCTAAGTGGTCATTATTGTGTGAGAACTCAAATCCTTGCTACTTGTTAATTGCTACTTGTTAATTGTGTTCCAAACAATTTTGCATGTCACAACTATACCATGTCCACTAATAATAAATCTAGTCTTTGGCAGGGTTACCGGAGCTGTTTCCAAATAAGGCTTCCACAGAAAACATGTGCTCTATGTCAAAACAGTGAGCACAATCTGAACGGATTTTTACTCCTTTGATACTCCAAAATATGTGTTATTTAATGCTCATGGACTTTACCTCTACCTTGGAGCTGGCATCCCATGTGTATGTCAATTAGGGCTGTCATGTACAGTGATGCAGCGTGTGCACCGCACAACTCCAGGAGGTACCATCTGTATGTGGTCTACGATGTGCAACGTGGTGCCAATTCTGGGAGTCAGTAATTATACCCCAAGGGAATTTTTAAGTTCTAAATTAAGGCTTGTTTTACTATTTCTTATTACATCACATTGGAAAACATGTCCATTACGTAAAATGGTACATTCACATTTGTTGACTAAAATAATGTAAAAGCACATTGGTAAATAAAAGAAAAGCAAGATATGTATTCACCAAAGATAATATCATTAATAAAGAGTGTATCAGCTGGTCACAAAAAATGTTTATACAATTTTCAAAACTATTAAATTTTAAGTAAATATAAATAAAGTTCTGATTTTTCTTTAATTTGGGTTTAATTTAAATGTTGATTTAAGGTTGTTAATTTTAATCTTGACTGTTTAAGTAAATAAGTAGATGATTTTCGATTCATTTCCAAAGCAACAGTATTTGTTATCATAAAAGCTGAAGTTCCACTTAGAGAGTGTGTTTTCTATTATAGAAATATCTGTTGTGACGATTAAGTAAATGTTTTCATCAGAGATTCCAATACAAATATTTCCACTTTACATTTACAGTGGAAGCAAGAAGATAGTATATTTCAAATGTTTTAAGAAATTTTACATAATTGTCATCATTCAGAAGTGTCTAGTTTAAAAAATTATAATTCTTAAAAAATAAAATTGGGTGTTTATATTTTTACTTTTGATTTGTTTTAGTATTACATTTTAACTTTTGTGAGTTTACAATAATTATGTTTTCTTAACCATACACTTTAACAATATTTTACTTTACTCAATTAGCATATGATTATGCAAAATAGATTTTGCAGTATTTACTGAACATAGTAACCAAAAGTAGGTCAAATATTTCAGATAATAAATTTCACAATTTATGTGCTCATTAACCACTTTTATAAAGTACTATCATTTTAATTTCAGAGTGTCATAGTGAAGATGAATATATTAATGTTTTTGAACCTGAAAATATATTGAATACTGATAGTTAGAATCAACACTTGCTTATTTGAGAACTAAGAACCCATGAGACCTCCTAATACTCATCTAGTCCTCTCTAACAACCTGCTTTATTGTTACTTTATGACATTATCAACAGTTCTGTGAGGGGGGAAAGAAATATCATGTAGTAAATTTACTATGAGCCACACAATGTGTGAGGCACCTACTTTTATGAAATCAGAAGGGGAAGGAGAAGAGGCAGAACACAAATGAGACAATTTTGTTCTCACCTGGCAGTTCTAATAAGCTTAATAAGGAAATACATGAAATTTTTTATTAAAAGTATGCTTGGGGATTTTTCTCTATATTTTATACATCCATTCTGACTCTCCCCCAATAGATATGACTCCTTAATTGTTGGAAATATTTTAACGAAATAGAATTTCAAATGCAAGAAACCAGTGAAATCTACCCTGTATAGAAACCTGTCTACTAGAGTATACCTGTTCTAACAAAGTATACCACTTTCTTTGTAGATATGAAATAAAATTTGGTCTCTTTAGCATTGACATCACTCCTACAATAATATGTAAGATAATTCCATTTTGACCTTCTCGATGAAATTAGGAATTAATTTTTGGCCCAGGCTAGCAGAAAGCTGTCAGAGAACTTCTCAAATCAAGGCATATCACTGATTAGATGGAAGTATAAGTTCACAAGTAGATCCACAGGTAGAGAGGAGGAAAAAAGATAAAGCCCCTTTAGTCATTTCAGACAGGAAATAATTGCTGTTTGCTTACTGTATATGCATCTATAGAAGCAGAATGCTCCATTTCTTGGTTTGTTTTTGTTTTTGTTTTGTGTTTACTTTTTTTCAAAGTGCATGGATATTCCCAGTTCATTCATATTACCTAGTATTCAGTAAATATATACTGAACAGATGAAGTGGTGAGTATTTCTCAGACTCACTTGTGATTAAAGGCACTAAATGATGCTGAGTGAGACAGAAACATCCTGAGGAAGTGACCATGCACCAGGTGTGCAAGGAAGGCCATAGTCTCCTCATCAGCAAGTGCCTCCCTACCTCTTCTCTTAGTTGTTGTGAGGATTATTTGAGACACTAAGCTCTCAAGGAGATAGTGCCTGGCACCAAGTAGCCCTTGACAATGGCTAGGATCATTATTTATTGTCAGTTCTGCAACTGACAATGTTCTCATAAGGCAAAGTGTTTCGAAAGCTCTTAATTTAAGACAAGAAGAATTTTCACTAAGAATGTTTGATCTGATTGTGCTACTTTTCTGCCAAACAGTTCAGTGGCTCCTTTATACTAGTTTCTGTTCGGGCTTTCTACGAGAGAGGAAGGAACACAAATACTCAAAATATAGGCGTAACAATTTTATTACCATTATATTAGACTAACAAATTATTACTAATTTTGGTGGTAGATTCACGGAGCAGACCTTATCAAATTTCACATATAGCAGGAGCCGAACTTTGTAGAATATTTCGGATGAGCCCTGAGCTTGTCATTAGTACTCAAATGAAGGAGAGACATGAACCACTGGACAATGGACAGATACCTACAGAAAACAATTTCAGAGACCAGTGACAAACTCCAAATATCTCTCGTTTTGGGAATTTGTTTATTAGAACTAAAAATCTTTGTTCCTGTAGGTTCAAACTTTGTTTCCTTAAATTATAAAAATTTGATAGTTTTATATGCTGCCTTCCCACTTACTTACTACTTACTTTCCTTCACTGACAGTCACCCCATCCAATCACTCATAGAGTTATGACAAGTTATGAGTTTTAACTGTTTCTTAAGCAGTGCTTCCCAAATTTTAATGTGCACATAAAAAACCTGGGGAATCTTGTCAAAATGCAAATTCTGTTTCAATAGATCTGTTTCAATGGACATATTTTTTAATCTAAATACAACTGAGAATAGCACCCAGATTTAAACTGATAAGAACAGATACTACACTTGATCTTAGCCAAAAGGCCGAGAGATGATCAGCACGGATTTTTTTTAAAAAAGATGATTACCAGCATCTGAGGAATCAACTATAGGGGGCTGAATGGTGGCTCCTGAAACATCAGGTCCTAATTCATGGAACCTGTGAATGTTATGTTATATTATAAAGTGTTTGTAAATATAATTCTATTAGGGTCTCGAAATGAAAAAATTGTCCTGATTATCCAGGCAGCTCCTAAGTGCCATCACGAGTGTTAGACAGGGGGAGAATAGATACACACACAAAAGAAAACCATAGGAAGATGGAGGCAGAGATTGGATCGCAGCCACAAGCCAAGAAATGCAGCCGCAAGAAACTGGAAGAGATAAGAAACAGATTCTCCCGCTAGAGCCTCCAGAGGAAGTACAGACCTGCTAACACCTTTTTTGGGACCTCCAGCCTCCAGAACTGAAGGAGAATAAACTTCTGCTACTTTAAGCCACGAAGTCTGTGGTAATTTTCACAGCAGTTATATGAAACAAATGTACAAGCTTTAATTCTTTTTTTGAATAAAATATCCTTTATCCTTCGGTGGCATTAAGACTCATATCCTTTAGGAACTGAAAGAAATAGGTAAAAAGTCTGTTGTTTGATATCTTCATATTACTGCATGATATAACTTGCTCATTTTTCTCATTTTACTTTTCAACTTCAGGTACACTTACATATTTAGCATTGACATCAACATTTCTGTATCTCAACAACTGGGCCTATTTACTTAATTCATTAGCTATTGCAATTTTTTAATTGGATCAGCACTTTTGCACAATCCTATGTATAATTAATCATAGCATTTGATTCTTCCAAATAATCCCTGGTTGTAACAAATATTTGAATAACTCTTTCTAATATAAAAGTAAACTAAATTGTTTTCTATGCTCCTTATAACAAATTACAACAAAGTTAGAAGCTTAAAACAACACAATTTATTATCTTACAGTTCTGTAGGTCAGAAAGCTGACATGGGTCTTATCAGGCTAAAAGCAGTGTCAGCAGAGCTGAGTTCCTTTCTGCAGACTCATGGAGGGAATCAATTTTCTTGCCTTTTCTAGCTTTCAGAGGTTGCCCACATTCCTTAGCTCATGGCCCCCGTCTTCAATACTCAATGCAGGAATGTTGCATCTATCCGATCCTTCTTCAGTAGTTACGTCTCCCTCCCTGATCACAGCTGAGACAGATTTTCCTCTTTTAAGAACCCTCGTGATTATATTGGGCTGATCCAGACAATCCAGGATAATTTCTCCATCTATGAATCTTTACCATTAATCAAAAATTCAGAGTCCTTTTGCCATGTGAGTTGACATATTTACAGGTGGATGTTTTTGGAGGACTATTTGTGGCTACCATACTTGCTGTGGCTTTTCTAGTTCTACAACCTAATCTTTATGATGTAGGAAGTTTTCATATTTCATATTACATTTAGAAAACAAAACAGTCCTTTTGATTTTCTATCTTAACTGTATTTTCTAAAGTCATTCAGTTTTTTAAAAAGTTCTTATTTAAAGTATTACACATCCAACTATTTTCCTTTTATAATGTTGCTAAATATAATTCTAGGCTTTTCAACTATTTTGAGGATCATTGTTAGGATAGTTTTTATACTGGAATTATTGTTTTTCCCAAATTAGGACTATATAATTTTTTAAACTATGGTCACCATACTGTACATTGCATCCCCAGAACGTGTTTATCATATATCTGGAAGTTTGTACCCTTTGACCACCTTCACCCATTTTGCCCACTGTGTAACCCCCTGCCTCTGGCAACCACCAATCTGTTCTGTTTCTGACTTTGTTTTTTTAGGTTCCACATATAGGTGAGATCAGACAGTGTTGTCTTTCTCTGTCTGACTTATTTCACTTAGCATAATATCCTCAAGGTCCATCTGTGTTTGTCACAAATGGAAAGATTTCCTTTTTTGTGGCCGAATAATCATAATCATATATATAACATTTTCTTTATCCACTCATCTATCAGTGGACACTTAGGCTGTTTCCATATCTTGACTTTTGTAAATAATGCTGCAGTGAACCTGGGAGTGCGAATGTCTTTTCAAGATAGTGATTTCATTTTCTTCAGATACAGGCCCAAAAGTAGAATTGCTGGATCATATTATACTTCTATTTTTAATTTTTTTAATTAACTCCATACTGTTTTCTATAGTGGCCGAACCAATTTACATTCCCACCAACAGTGCACGAGGGTTCCCTTTCTTCTGCACCCGTACCAATACTTATTATCTCTTGTCCTTTTCATAATAGCCATTCTGTCTCATTGATGTTTTGATTTGCATTTCTCTGATGATTAGTGATGTTGAGCAGCTATTGAACAATTGTGTATTTTTGTGAAAATGTATATTCAGTTACTCGGCCTATTTTTTAAATGGATTTTTTTCTATTGCATAGTATCAGTGCTTTATATATTTTGAATGTTAGTCCCTTATCAGATATACAACTTGCAAATATTTTGTCCCATTCTATAGGCTGCCTTTTCATTGTGTTGATGGTTTCCTTTGCTGTACAGAAGCTTTTTAGTTTGATGTAGTCCCACTTGTGTATTTTTGCTTTTAGACTCAAATCCAAAAATATCATTGCCCAGATGAAAGTCAAGGAATTTACCACCCATATGTTTTCTTCTATAAGATTATGATTTCAGATCTTACATTCAAGTCTTTAATCTATTTTGAGTTTATTTTTGTGTGTGATATAAGATAGGGGTCCAGTTTCATTCTTTTGCATGTGGCTGACCATTTATGGGAGACACATTGCATATTCTTGGCTCCTATGCCGTAAATTAATTGACCATATATGCATGGGTTTATTTCTGGAGTTCCTATTCTGTTCTATTTTTCTATGTGTGTATTTTTACACCAATACCATACTGTTTTGATTACTATATTTTTGTGTTGTAGTTTGAAATCAAGAAGTGTAATGCCTCCAGCTTTGTTTTTTTTCTCAAGATTGCTTCGACTATTTGGGGTCTTTTGTGGCTTCATACAAATTTTAGGATCATTTTTTCCTATTTCTATGAAAAATGACTGTAATTTTAATAGAGATTGCATTGAATCTGTAGATTGCTTTGAATAGTATGGACAAATTAATAGTATTATTTTTTTTAATCTATGAGCACAAAATATTTTTCAGTCTTTCTGTGTCTTCAGTTTCTTTCATCAATGTCTTATAGTTTTTAGTGTATAGGTCTTTCACCTCTTTTGTTAAATATATTCCTAGGTATTTTATTCTCTTTCATGCAATTGTAAATTGGATTATTTATTTAAGTTCCATTTCTTATAGTGCATTGTATGGTACATATAATATTTAATGGTACTATTTTTTTCCCCCTTTTTAATTTCCTCCTCCTCCACTTCCACCCCTGACCCATGGATGTTGCCATTTCCCCTTAAGAACTGGATCTCTGAAGACGGGGCATCCCCTCCCACACGTGCACTTGCAGCCTAGGGCACCCGAGGCCTGGCACACCCAGGGCCTGGCAACCCTGGCACATGGTCTGTGGCTCCACCAGGGGCATGAATCCAGGACCTTCTGCATGCAAAGCAGATGTGCTAACCACTACACTATGGAGCCACCCCCTAATAGTACTATTTAAAAATATTGTTTACTAACTTGTTAGATGATCTCTTTTGAGATGAATGATAAGAATTAACATATTTTTAAAAATTAGCAAGCTGAGATAGAGAGTTTGGTTTCATCAGTGCCTATTTTAAGAGGGGAAAAAGAGCTAAAATTAAAGGTAGCAAATATTTTACCTGTAATTCTTTTTGTACTTCTTTAAATTTCTTTTTTACCAAGTTATTAATTTTTCTTATTTTTAACATATTGACTGTATGTATGCCTAAACATTAGAGGAAATTAGCAGACTCTCATCTGCTAATGTTTTTTAGCCATGTTGACACTTCCTCCTGTCTCAAACTCACAAATATATCAAAACCCATTAAATTTCTATCTTCCAATAAGTTTATCCTGATCCTCACAACCCACAATGATATGGTTCCTCTTCCAAAGACTTAAATTGCTTATTTGGTGCATCGTTCATCTGGTACATGTAAGCCACCTTGAATTATTCACTGCTTTTTATAGAGATAAACATTTCTTCCAAATGAATTGTGAACTACTTAGTGGCAAATGAAATACATTATGTTTCTTCCTACTTCTTTTGTACTTATACTATTCTACCCATTATAGGTAACTGGAGTACATTTGTTGATTGGTCAACAGTACCACATCCTTATTCTCATATTATCAGCATCATCAATAAGCATTTATTGAGAAAATGACAAGTCATAATTTAGAATAGCAAAAATGTCCTCAAAAAATGCTTAACACGTATTCTTCTTGTATTATATGTAGGAAAGAAAATATTGTCTCTTGTGCTGATGAATTCATGGGCCAGTTATGAGCACAAAAAGGCTGTGTGATATAATGGAAATTTAAGGGACTGAAAAAATCAGATCTGTCTTACACTCCTTCAGGCCTTCACTAGCATGCTAACTCTAGGCAGGCCAAGTCATCTCAGCCATTGCTATATTTCCTCATCTGCAAAATTGCCACTATAGTAGTTTATTTCCTACATATACCTTTGGTCTATACTGTGGGTAAATAGGAAAATAGAAGATAATTCACTTTACAAAGGTGAATTCCTTATAAAAGCTAAATTATTGTTCCTGGTCACCTAATATAGATGAACTATTATTGTTGTCCACATTCTGCAGATGACAAAACTGGCTTATAGGATTGTTGTGAGTTGCAAATGAGATAATTTTTGTGAAAACGCTTATGCAAAGGCTTATTGTTTTTAGGTGTTTAACTCAGGAAAATTGAAAATATTCATCTATTAATCTATTTGCTTTGTTGATGTTAATAAGTATATTTTCATGAAAAATTTGCAAATTTGACATTTCAGATTCGACTGATCCACATTCATATTGGTGTTTCTCTTAATTGAAATATGTAACTTGAACCCAATGGTGTATGTTTCGCTC